TTTACTTTTTATTTTTCATAATTTTTAAAAAGAAGGTATTACAAAAAGAATACTATTTACAAACCCAAGCTTTTAATGCAATGTAAAAAAGATTAATGCTTAAATAAACTGCCATCTTCTCGTCCCTGAACACTTCTGACTTCCCTAACGCATGCACTATCAGTGCTCTTTTATCGGAGCCCTGCAACAGATAAACTTTTTGTTGGCACTGAGCAAAAAATTCTATTGTATCAAAAAACTTCCATTTACATTTCTAATACTGTGACCTTATTCCTTTTCCAACTTTTCAACACATTGGAGCGGGTGAAAGCAAGCACTGCTGCGAAATAAACCTTATTTGCTCAAAATCCTGGAAAATTTTGAAACATTTTTATGTGGCCATTCTGAGCAATTGGTAAAAATTTTCTATCGTTTATTGCGACTTTTGTCTACCTCTTCAAAAAGGAAAAAAAGGAGAAAACCAAATCATAGTTTCACCACCAGGTTAGGTGCTCTGCTATCGTGATATTCAACAATCAAAGAATTTTAGAAAGCTGCTTCAAGCTAAAAATTTTTCATTCAACACTAGAAAAAAAAACCTTGCTAACACTTTATGATGCCACATCACGACATTAAAGACCCAAAAAGTGGCATCGGTTCCCAAACTGCACAGCAAAGTTTGTTATGATCCTTAGCTTCAAATGAAGTTTGCGCGTTTGCTCATTAGGACAGACTTAACGGAAAGGCATCTTGCAGCAATTCTGGTGTAGTTCTGGAAATTCGCCAATAAATTCCGTTGCCATCGTTCAGCTACTGGCTTCCAGTGCTTTGTTATGGTTAAGCAGTTGCTAAAGTGGCCATGAATTGCAGATATGCCTTTTAAACTTTTTATTAGTGTGCAGGTATTCTAGGCAATTCATTTTCATTGCAAATTTGCTTTTCACTTTGGTGGCACAGCTATTCTATTTTGCTACGCAGATATTGATCTACCAATCAAAAATTGATGGAGAAGTCTCATCTATCTACATTTTGATTTCCCATGTTTGTAAATTATATGCAAAAAAGTATGTTAAGCACACGATTAAATCTAAATGTGCGGGCAAATATTTTAATTCGAACGCATTTCATAAATGGGAACAATTGTGTGTCAAAAATCTGATCTTTTCTTGATGGAACGAACGGGGAATATAATAAAATATAACATTGTATATATA